CGTGGCCAGAATTTGTTTTGTTACTCTGATGAAGATTTAATTTCTCATGTTTAAACCCTTAAACTGAGTAATTGAAATTTCTCATCGTGAACTTCATATTGTTTTCTGCAGCCCACTGAAAGATTTGGTTTTATGTCCGCCTGGAGGCCTTGCAGTGTCTGCAATGGAAGACACTGTCATGCAGATTCGGGTGTCATCTGCAAAGGAAGACACGGTGCTGTGGCTGACATCCTTGTCTATGTCGGATATGAGGATGAGGAACAAGATGGGAGCTAGTACTGTGCCTTGTGGAACAGAGCTTTTCACCGTAGCTGCCTCGGACTTTACTCTGTTGACGACTACTCTCTGTGTTCTGTTAGTGAGGAAATTATAGATCCATCGACCGACTTTTCCTGTTATTCCTTTAGCGCGCATTTTGTGCGCTATTACGCCATGGTCACACTTGTCGAAGGCTTTTGCAAGTCTGTATATATTACATCTGCATTCTTTTGTCTTCTAGTGCATTTAGGACCTTGTCGTAGTGACCCAGTAGTTTGAGACAGACAGGAGCGACCTGTTCTAAACCCATGTTGCCCTGGGTTGTGTATCTGATGGGTTTCTAGATGGGTGGTGATCTTGCTTCTTAGGACCCTTTCAAAGATTTTTATGATATGGGATGTTAGTGCTATTGGTCTGTAGTTCTTTGCTGTTGCTTTACTGCCCCCTTTGTGGAGTGGGGCTATGTCTGTTGTTTTTAGTAACTGAGGGACGACCCCCGTGTCCATGCTCCCTCTCCATAGGATGGAAAAGGCTCGTGATAGGGGCTTCTTGCAGTTCTTGATGAACACAGAGTTCCATGAGTCTGGCCCTGGGGCAGAGTGCATGGGCATGTCATTTATCGCCTGTTCGAAGTCATTTGCGTCAGGATAACATCGGATAGGCTTGTGTTAATCAAATTTTGTGGCTCTCTCATAAAAAATTCATTTTGATCTTCGACTCTCAGTCTGGTTAGCGGCTTGCTAAAAACTGATGTCATATTGGGACTTGAGTAGCTCACTCATTTCCTTGTGTCATCTGTGTAGGACCCATCTTGTTTAAGTAGGGGCCCAATACTGGGCGTTGTTTTCGATTTTGATTTGGCAAAAGGAGAAGAAATACTTTGGGTTTCTTTCGATTTCATTTATAGCTTTTAGTTCTTCCCGCGATTCCTGACTCCTAAAAGGATTCTTTTAGCTTAAGTTCGATGCTTGCTTTTTTCTCTGACCAGTGTCTCCCTAGCATTTCAGATATATTGACCTCTTTTAGCCGCTCTGTTATTCTTTTCCGTCGCCTGTAAAGGGAGCTGCCTGTCTCTTTCTATTTACATCTACTCCTCCTTTTTCTTAGAGGAATAAGCCTTGTGCATACATCGAGTGCCACCGAGTTAATCTGTTCTAGGCATAAGTTTGGGTCTGTGTTGCTTAGTATATCTTCCCAGCTTAATATCGGTTAGGACTTGGTTTACTTGGTCCCACTTTATGTTTTTGTTATTGAAGTTGAATTTGGTGAATGCTCCCTCGTGACTAGTCTCATTTTGTCGGTCTGGGGCTCCTCGCATATATGTCTGAACCTCAATTATGTTGTGATCTGAGTATATTGTTTTTGATATGGTGACATTTCTTATCAGATCATCATTGTTAGTGAATATGAGGTCTAGTGTATTCTCCAGTCTAGTAGGCTCTATTATTTGCTGGTTTAAATTGAATTTTGTGCAGAGATTTAAAAGCTCGTGTGAGTGTGAGTTTTCATCAGAGCTGCCTCCTGGTGTTATTACTGCAACAATATTATTTGCTATATTCCTCCATTTTAGGTGCCTTAAGTTGAAATCCCCCAGGAGCAAGATGTTGGGTGCAGGAGCTGGAAGATTTTCCAGACAGTGGTCATTTTTAACAGCTGTTCCTGGAATTGCTGGGATGTTGCATCCGGAGGCTTGTAGACTACCACAATGACTAGGTTTTGGTTCTCGACCTTTACTGCTAAAACTTCCACTACGTCATTTGAGGCATTAAGCAGTTCTGTGCAAACAAGTGACTCTGCAATGTACAGGCCAACCCCCCCCCCCCTTTTGGGCCTGTTCACTCTGTCACATCTGTATAGGTTGTAACCTGGGATCCATATTTTTATTGTCCAAGTGATCCTTTATGTGGGTCTCAGTGAAAGCCGCGAACATTGCCTTTGCCTCTGCAAGCAGTCAGAAGTGTTGGCCACACTCCTTGCACTCAAATGCGTCCATGTATCTAAGGTTGAAACTTTAATTGAAACGGATTCTCTGTATCATAATGTTAACTCATTACGTATAAATTGTGGCATGCTTTTGTCGAACCCAAATAGGGTTTGTAAGATTGTGGACAGTGGGGTCGAGTGGATTCCTCACATTGGTCTTCAGATGTATGATAGAACTGATAAATTGGCTAAGCTGTATGCTTTCAAAGAGGGAGTAGATTACAATCTTGGGTTGCCAGTTAGAAGTCTGAGAACAATAATACGAAAAGAACTTCAATTGAACTTTATTGAATTAAGACTTAGGGAGATTGACACCAGTCAGTCCATCTGTCATCGTTCCACCATGCAGGAGGAGCCATATGTCTATGGTGCATCCAACAAGATAAGCCGACTCTTGGATGTCACTACCGCCCGGTTCCGGCTGGGTTACAAGTATCTTTGGCAGGTTAAATCACCACCACCAGATGTAGACCAAACGAAATGTAAACTTTGCCAGATGGACTATTGTCACACCTTGCGTCATTATGTCCTGAAGTGCGATCAAATTAATGAATTTAGAGACAACTCACTCAGTGTGGAAAATACTGTATATTTTCCGGAAATACGGTAATTTATAGGTAAATAGATGCCCTATATTGTATTTAATAAAAGTGTATTTTTAAAAGAACAGACAGTCGCCATTTTGTTTGAATTGAATAACACGTTGTGAATAATGGGAAGAATTTTTCGTGCTCTAGAGATTAAAATCGGGCTGACACCTCTCAAATAGGAGACGAAATTGTTGGATGTGCATTCCTGCATAATTTGAGAATCAGGCGACAGGACAGGACAACTCCAGGAACCTCAGATAGCTGTCTAAATTATGTTTAATTTCTGGCCAGTAAATTCTTCATAAATGTAAGGCAAAAGGTGGGGTCCTGTACATGACACATTAATCTCCAGTCAAATTGGTGAGTGTTTTGATTTTAAGATATTCTTCTGTTATGTATATGTGTTTATACCTGGAGTTTACCTGGAGAGAGTTTCGGGGGTCAACGCCCCCGCGGCCCGGTCTGTGACCAGGCCTCCTGGTGGATCAGCCCCTGATCAACCAGGGCTGTTGCTGCTGGCTGCACCCCAAACCAACGTACGAGCCACAGCCCGGCTGATCAAGGAACTGCCTTTAGGTGCTTGTCCAGTGCCAGCTTGAAGACTGCCAGGGGTCTGTTGGTAATCTCCCTTATGTGTGCTGGGAGGCAGTTGAACAGTCTGGGTTTCCCCTGAACATTTATTGTATGGTCTCTTAACGTGCTAGTGACACCCCTGCTTTTCATTGGGGGGATGGGTGCATCTCTGCCAAGTCTTTTGCTTTCGTAGTAAAGTGATTTTCGTGTGCAAGTTCGGTACTAGTCCCTCTAGGATTTTTCCAGGTGTATTAAATCATGTATCTCTCCCTCCTGCGTTCCAGGGAAAAAACAGGTTTAGAAACCCCAAGCGCTCCCAGTAATTGAGGTGTTTTATCTCCGTTAGGGGCGCCGGTGAAAGTTCTCTGTACATTTTTCTAGGTCGGCAATTTCCACCTGCCTTGAAAGGTGCTGTTAGAGTGCAGCAATATTCCAGCCTAGATAGAACAAGTGACCTGAAGAGTGTCATCATGGGCTTGGCCTCCCTAGTTTTGAAGGTTCTCATTATCCATCCTGTCATTTTTCTAGCAGATGCGTTGATACAATGTTTGGTCCTTGAAGGTGAGATCCTCCGACATAATCACTCCCAGGTCTTTGACGTTGGTGTTTCGCTCTATTTTGTGGCCAGAATTTGTTTTGTACTCTGATTTAATTTAATATACAGTCCACAAATTTATATATTTACCAGCATTCCTGGTGATGTATTTTTCATTTGTAATTAATAGGTCCAGAGCAACTTGTGGATTGAAGGGGGTGTATCGAAGAGGGAATTTTTTGGACGTAGGGGTCCCAAATTCCCACTTGTCTAACTGATAAACAATAATTATCTTTGTTCAATTTAATGTTATGTAAATAATGATACATCAGTAAATGCAATTTTCACACTCAGAAATGTTCAAGAAATGGCAAAATATTTTATCCACAGTGTTTTATTACAACATTCTGGAGAAAAACCCTGATTTGCTAGCTGCAAATAAAGAAATTCCAGTGTGTGTGGGGGGGGAAGTGTGGGGGGTGTGGTGTTGTTACCATTACCATTTTACTATGTGCACATCGATTAGACACTGGTATGCATTGTGTACGTCTGTGCATGTGTGTGCGTGCCCCCCTCGATGTGGAATTGTGTGTGCGCGCGCGCGCTCCTCGTGGGGTGTATGACCACTTAATATTGTATTATAAATCTTACAAATTTTTGACGGGTTTTGGACGTATCAGTGGCTCAATTATTTGTAATTTGTTCATGATTTAAAATATGCATAGGAGTGAGGATGATTCATTACCTTTGAACTTGCCATGATTTTTGAACTGAAAACTACCTGGGGGGTTCATTACCTTTGTAACTTGTTCATCTATCATAACTTTGGAGTCCAGTCCCTGAACTCATTATGTACCTCTGTAATCTTTTGACTACCGCCACAGGATGGGTATGGGTGCATAATAAATATATTAGACTAACTGATAGGTATTAGGTGCATGATAAAGATATTAAACTACAGTCGCAGTAGTAATGAGTTGGTTACACGATAATTGAATAAAATGGTATGAACTTAACAATAAAGTATATTCAATATTCTGAGAGGGAGGTAAGAGGAGGTTTTTAAAGTGGGTGTGAGAGGGCGCCATTACCCGCAATGCTCAGTAGTAAACACCAGCTGCCTCATGCTGCTGCTGTCTCTGCCCTGACAGACGGTCATCACTGCTCCTCAACCTCCTACACAGTTATCACGAAAATCATTATTCATTATGTTTAAGAAGTAAGTTGAGTGTGTTCGAGCGTCACCTTACGTATTTTTTTAACTATATATAATGAATGATTGTTAAATTTTGACCTAATTGTCTTCATTTCCATCAATTAAGGTACTGGCTCTATCTACTGCTGTTTTCAGCATACTAGGTTTATGAATATTTGCTTTTGTGTGGATATGTTATTGTGACCATGTACATTTTTGTAGTCTTGCAGATTGTTTTATCCTTCTAGGAAGATTCTTTGACACTGATGAGGAGCTCGTGTACATGTAGAAATAAAGATATTTAGGACTCGTGCCAGAACTCTTCCTTGGATCGAACCTGATTGCCTCCCATTTTCTCCTACGGGATTAGTGCTCCCCCGTGAGCAGTAATTATAATAATAATAATGTAAATTGTTTTAGTTGAATAAAGAAGTTGATGAATGCATTTGCAGTAAATGTGAAAGTTGACATTTTTTAAGTATGTAATTAATTTCTCCCCTAGGGAAGGTTCCTTGATGCTGGTGAGGGGCTTTGATCCAAGTAATTGAACCAGACCTCCCTTTCCCTGCATCAAACCTAATTGCCTCCCATTCCTCAAGGCACCGTGTAGCCCCTATGGGTTAGGCACTCTCCTTGTTAATGTAGTAATAGTACCAAATTTTTACAAGTAATCATGTTGTAAGCACCTCAGATACATTTGGTCTGCATTTCAAAATGAGGTACAATACTCTGGAGAAATTTTGAGAAACATTTACTTAAATTTAAATACAGTATATTGATTTTTAAAGATTGTAATTAATCTGATATGCTTTTAAATTGATAGTTTTTTTTTGACAGGTTCTAAATTGATAGTTTTTTTTTACAGGTTCGATGAAAAGGAATCAGTGTCTGGTACTCAACAACTGAAGTCATCTGTTCAAAAAGGAATTCGCCATAAATTGATAGAGTCCTTCCCGTCACTTGGAGATTACCTAGAAAAAATATTGCCGAAGAAAGATGCGTTTAGGATTGTTAAATGGTAAATGGTGCACACCTTTGTTTTTTCTCTTGATTCTCTCATGTTCGAAGTGGAGTATTATAAAAGATCTTCATAATTTACATGTAGAACAATTTGCAGAAAAGGTGAAAGTAGATTAGATAAGAATGAGAAATGATAGGAGTGCAGTAGGATAAAATTGGTATACTGTATTTACATTTGAAAAGGGCAAGCTGGAGGATTGTATAATAAAGAAAGCAAGTACAGTATGTACAGCAGTTGGAAAAATAAAATTGTGAAGTACAGTATAGAAATTTAAGGCTGTTTCAAATTGATTGGCATAATATTGATAAAGATAAATGTTGTAACTGCCTGCCTGTGGTAAGATGAAAGGATGAAATAATGTGTGAAGTCAGTCTCTGTATATGGAACTGAGCATGAGTGAATGTGGTCATTTATATTAAAGATAAAAGACAGTAGCTAAAATTAAAAATTCCTGAAATGAAATCAAGGAACATCTATAGTTCTCCATTTTTGGAAGTTGGTCTGTTCTTTGAGAAGAGTAGATGTACCCTCCAGTGCTGAACAATTACTCTTTATTAGAGGAGAGGGATGACCTTAGATATTTACTGGCTAGGTTTGCCAGAAATGGAAGAACTATCATGATAAATTAGACACTTGTGCAACGCTTGGGTATTTTCACTTTTGAAACTTTTCCAAGATGAAGATACCCAAGTGTTGACCAAGTGTCTAATTTATCAACCTGTCAGTTCTCTGAACCATTTATCTACATACAAGAACTTCCTTCTTTTTTTTTTTTTATACCACTAGGTAATTTCCTTTCCTTTTTTTATGTCTATTTAAAGATTAATCATTTCATCTACAGTTAAATTATACATGTAAATTAATGAAAAGTTAGTCTTGTATATTGTTAATTTTACTATTTTTCAGAACATTTGTAACAACATTTTAAATGTATCAGCTGGTAATGGTATATTTTTCACTGATACCATCAATATTATCTGATACCCACCCCTAATGTCTAGTCATGTTTACCTGGAGTTTACCTGGAGAGAGTTCCGGGGGTCAACGCCCCCGCGGCCCGGTCTGAGACCAGGCCTCCTGGTGGATCAGAGCCTGATCAACCAGGCTGTTGCTGCTGGCTGCACGCAAACCAACATACGAGCCACAGCCCGGCTGATCCGGAACTGACTTTAGGTGCTTGTCCAGTGCCAGCTTGAAGACTGCCAGGGGTCTGTTGGTAATCCCCCTTATGTGTGCTGGGAGGCAGTTGAACAGTCTCGGGCCCCTGACACTTATTGTATGGTCTCTTAACGTGCTAGTGACACCCCTGCTTTTCATTGGGGGGATGGTGCATCGTCTGCCAAGTCTTTTGCTTTCGTAGTGGGTGATTTTCGTGTGCAAGTTCGGTACTAGTCCCTCTAGGATTTTCCAGGTGTATATAATCATGTATCTCTCCCTCCTGCGTTCCAGGGAATACAGGTTTAGGAACCTCAAGCGCTCCCAATAATTGAGGTGTTTTATCTCCGTTATGCGCGCCGTGAAAGTTCTCTGTACATTTTCTAGGTCGGCAATTTTCACCTGCCTTGAAAGGTGCTGTTAGTGTGCAGCAATATTCCAGCCTAGATAGAACAAGTGACCTGAAGAGTGTCATCATGGGCTTGGCCTCCCTAGTTTTGAAGGTTCTCATTATCCATCCTGTCATTTTTCTAGCAGATGCGATTGATACAATGTTATGGTCCTTGAAGGTGAGATCCTCCGACATGATCACTCCCAGGTCTTTGACGTTGGTGTTTCGCTCTATTTTGTGGCCAGAATTTGTTTTGTACTCTGATGAAGATTTAATTTCCTCATGTTTACCATATCTGAGTAATTGAAATTTCTCATCGTTGAACTTCATATTGTTTTCTGCAGCCCACTGAAAGATTTGGTTGATGTCTGCCTGGAGCTTTGCAGTGTCTGCAATGGAAGACACTGTCATGCAGATTCGGGTGTCATCTGCAAAGGAAGACACGGTGCTGTGGCTGACATCCTTGTCTATGTCGGATATAAGGATGAGGAACAAGATGGGAGCGAGTACTGTGCCTTGTGGAACAGAGCTTTTCACCGTAGCTGCCTCGGACTTTACTCTGTTGACGACTACTCTCTGTGTTCTGTTAGTGAGGAAATTATAGATCCATCGACCGACTTTTCCTGTTATTCCTTTAGCACGCATTTTGTGCGCTATTACGCCATGGTCACACTTGTCGAAGGCTTTTGCAAAGTCTGTATATATTACATCTGCATTCTTTTTGTCTTCTAGTGCATTTAGGACCTTGTCGTAGTGGTCCAATAGTTGAGACAGACAGGAGCGACCTGTTCTAAACCCATGTTGCCCTGGGTTGTGTAACTGATGAGTTTCTAGATGCGTGGTGATCTTGCTTCTTAGGACCCTTTCAAAGATTTTTATGATATGGGATGTTAGTGCTATTGGTCTGTAGTTCTTTGCTGTTGCTTTACTGCCCCCTTTGTGGAGTGGGGCTATGTCTGTTGTTTTTAGTAACTGTGGGACGACCCCCGTGTCCATGCTCCCTCTCCATAGGATGGAAAAGGCTCGTGATAGGGGCTTCTTGCAGTTCTTGATGAACACAGAGTTCCATGAGTCTGGCCCTGGGGCAGAGTGCATGGGCATGTCATTTATCGCCTGTTCGAAGTCATTTGGCGTCAGGATAACATGTAACATGTAAGTTGCTTACAAAGCAAACAGCCACAAACAGTACAATACATGCAGAAAATGGGTCTGTCAAGTTTACATTTTAGATACAGATATTGCTCTTTCTAAAATATAATCCCTTATGGCTCCTCAAAAACAAAATTTCTAAATGAGAATGGTATTCCAGAGTTACATTACAGTTAATTTTATTTTTATTTCAGGTGTTGCTATTGAAAGATGCTGTATATACATATTTTAGATAAATAATATTGATTAAATATTTAAAGTGGAAATTAATGAAAAGGCTGATTGTAAAATTCTTTGCTATATAACTCTGTTACTTTTATATTGTAATGCAAATGAATGCATCAACTTAAACATTTCAGAATACCATACCTAGGTTCAACTGCTTCACATTGGAGACTTGTATAAGTAAATTTTATTATTCTTAATGATCTCTTCCTGCAGCCATGAACATGTTGAGTTGCTTGTGAGAAGTGATGGAGAATTGCTTTTCTTCAGACAGAGAGATGGGCCATGGATGCCTACTCTGAAACTACTGCACAAATGTAAGCTTCAAAGATTTTAGAACTTAATAATTTTCAAACTGAATGGGTAAACTTGAACCTTTAGGACCTGAAATGTTTTAAAGAAAATACAATTATCATTGACCAGGTTTCATTGATGCATTCATCATCATAATCATAATTATAATCATAATCATTTATTTTTCAAAGAAGATACATTTGTGTTACAAAGATTTCTTACATGGAAAAGTTATGCAAAGTATTTCATGCAAACAAACTGGAGTAATACTAAAATTATATTTCATATACATCCTTCTTTCTTTCAACAAACCGGCCGTATCCCACCAAGGCAGGGTGGCCCAAAAAGAAAAACAAAAGTTTCTTTTTTTTTTTTTAAATTTAGTAATTTATACAGGAGAAGGGGTTACTAGCCCCTTGCTCCCGGCACTTTAGTCGCCTCTTACAACACGCATGGCTTACGGAGGAAGAATTCTGTTCCACTTCCCCATGGAGATAAGAGGAAATAAACAAGAGCAAGAACTAGGAAGAAAATTGCAGAAAACCCAGAGGGGTGTGTGTATATATATGCTTGTACATGTATGTGTAGTGTGACCTAAGTGTAAGTAGAAGTAGCAAGTCGTACCTGAAATCTTGCATGTTTATGAGAGAAAAAAGGACACCAGCAATCCTGCCATCATGTAAAACAATTACAGGCTTTCGTTTTACACTCACTTGGCAGGACGGTAGTACCTCCCTGGCCGGTTGCTGTCTACCAACCTACTACCTAGGATTTCATATACATATAGACACAATTTTTTTTATTAATACATCGGCCGTGCTCCACCAAGGCAGGGTGACCCAACAAAGAATAAACACTTTCATCATCATTCACTCTATGATTGTCTTGCTGGAGGTGTGCATACACTACAGTTAAAAAACTGCAACATCAGAGCGCAGATACTGTACTTCCCATCTCCAGGACTCTAGTCCATGCTTGCCAGTTTCCCTGAATCTCTTCATAAATGTTACTTTGCTCACACTCCAACATCACGTCAAGTCATGAATACCATTTGTCTCCACTCGCTCTTATCTAACATGCTCATGCATGCTTACTGGAAGTCCAGGCCCCTCACACATAAAACCTCCTTTACTCCTTCCCACCAACCTTTCCTAGGCCGACCCCTACCCTGCCTTCCTTCTACTACGGATTTATATGCTTTCCAAGTCATTCTATTTTGCTCCTCCTTTCTAACTATCTGAACCATCTCAACAACCTCATCCCTCTGGATAATACTTTTAGTAACCTGCACTTCCTCCTAATTTAAAAAACTATGGACTCTCTTCATTATATTCTCACTGCACATTATCCTCAGACACGATATCTCCACTGCCTCCAGCCTTCTCTTTGTTGTAACATTCACCACCCATGTTTCACACACACACAAGAGCGTTGGTATAAGTATACTCGTATACATTCCTCTCTTTGCTTCTATGGACAACGTTCTTTGTCTTCAGTGCACCACTAACCCTTTTCCTTTCATCAATTTAATGATTCACCTCAGCTTTCATAAACTCATCTGCTGACAAGTCCACTCCCAGATATCTAAATACATTCACTTCCTCCATACTCCCTCCCTCCAATCTGATATCCAGTGTTTCATTACTTAAATTTTTTGCTATCTTCATCGCCTTACTCTTTCCTATGTTCGCTTGTAATTTCCTTCTTTTACATACCCTACCAAATGCATCCACCAACCTCTGCAACTTCTCTTCAGAATCTCCCAAAAACACAGTGTCATCAGCGAAAAGCAACTAAGAACATAAGAAAGAAGGAACACTGCAACAGGCCTACTGACCCATGTGGAGCTGGTCCATGTCCCCCCCCCCCGAATTAGACCAATGACTCCCCCCCCCCCCCCCCCTCCGGATTAGCCCAATGACCCACCCAGTCTGATCATCTCCACTCAAAGATGGAGCACTGCACCAGACCCAGCAGCGCAAGCTAGTCAGGTCCAACTCACACCCACCCACACCCACTCATGTATTTATCTAACCTATTTTTAAAACTACACAACGTTTTAGCCTGAATAACTGTACTCGGGAGTTTGTTCCACTCATCCACAACTCTATTACCAAACCAGTGCTTTCCTATATCCTTTCTGAATCTGAGTTTGTGACAACTCTCACTTTGTGTTAGATTCTTTATCATTTAATCCCACACCTCTTGCCAACACTCAAGCATTTACCTCTCTTGCAACCCCATGAATAGATATATTGTGCAACCATGGTATATACCTTACCTTTGATATACCTTTGAAGAGTTTCGAGAGCTTCTCTACTCTCTGAGCCCAGTCATGGGCCAGGCTTGTCTGGTGCTTGCCAGGTCAACCAGGCTGTTGCTGCTGGAGGCCCACTGCCCCACATATCCATCACAGCCTGGTTGATCTGGCACCTGGTGAAGATACTTGTCCAGTTTCCTCTTGAAGGCTTCTACACTTATTCCAGTCATGCTTCTGATATCTTCTGGTAAGATGTTGAATAGTCTGGGACCCCGGATGTTGATAGTGTTCCCTTATTGTCCCCACTGCACCCCTGCTCCTCACTGGGTTTCTTTTACACTTCCTTCCATATCTCTCACTCCAATATGTTGTTATGGCAGTGTGCAGATTTGGGACCAGGCCTTCAAGTACTTTCCAGGTATATATTATCATATATCTCTCTCTCCTCCACTCCAATGAGTACATGTTCAAGACTTGAAGGCATTCCCAGTAGTTTAGGTGCTTTACTGGCTCAATGTGAGCCATAAATGATCTTTGTATTTCTTCCAGCTCCAATATTTCTCCCGCTTTGAACGGGGCCATCAGCACTGAGCAATAGTCTAAGTGAAGGAGCACTAGTGATTTGAAGAGTGTCATCTTCGGCATTATTTCCCTTCATCTTCCTGGCTGTTGTGATCTTTGTCTTGTTATGGTCTTTAAAAGAAAGGTCAGCTGACATAATTATTCCCAGTTTTTTTTGTGTTTTCCTTACGTTCTATTTGATGACCCTCTTGAGTTTTGTTTATAGTATTCCTTTTGAGTTCTTCATTCTTTCCATACCTAAGCAGCTGGACATCACACACCCCTGCGTAAGGCCTATTTTTACTTGGAAATAGACTCCCTCTCTCCTACATACTCTAACCTGAACCTCATTATCCTCATAAAAACTCTTCACTGCTTTCAGTAACCTACCTCCTATTCCATACATTTGCAACATCTGCCACATCTCCCCCCTACCCTCCATCTATCCTATCATACTTCTTTCTTTCTTTCAACACACCGGCCGTATCCCACCGAGGCGGGGTGGCCCAATAGGAAAAATGAAAGTTTCTCGTTTTACATTTAGTAATATATACAGGAGAAGAGGTTACTAGCCCCTTGCTCCCGGCATTTTAGTCGCCTCTTACAACACTCATGGCTTACGGAGGAAGAATTCTGTTCCACTTCCCCATGGAGATAAGAGGAAATAAACAAGAATAAGAACTAGAAAGAAAATAGAAGAAAACCCAGAGGGGTGTGTATATATGTGCTTGTACATGTATGTGTAGTGTGATTCAAGTGTAAGTAGAAGTAGCAAGACATACCTGAAATCTTGCATGTTCATGAGACAGAAAAAAGGACACCAGCAATCCTACCATCATGTAAAACAATTACAGGCTTTCGTTTTACACTCACTTGGCAGGATGGTAGTAGCTCCCTGGGCAGTTGCTGTCTACCAACCTACTACCTATGATCCTATCATACACCTTTTCTAAATTCATAAATAGAACAGAAACCTGTTTACCCTTATCTAAATACTGTTCACCTACTTGTTTCACTGTAAACACTTGGTCTACACACCCCTACCCTTCCTAAAGCCTCCTTGTTCGTCAGCAAACCTGCTTTCCATCTTATTCTTAATTTTTTCAGTAATAACTCTACCATACACTTTACCAGGTATACTCGACAGGCTTATTCCCTTATAATTTTACACTCGCTTTTGTCCCCTTTGCCTTTATACAAAGGAACTATGCATGCTCTCTGCCAATCCATGGGTACCTTACCCTCTTCCATACATTTATTAACCCTTTGACTGTTTCAGCCGTATATATATGTCTTACAAGCCAGTGTTTCGGACGTATATATACTCGGTAATTCTAGTGGCTTCAGATCAAGCAGGAGAAAGCTGGTAGGCCCACATGTGAGAGAATGGGTCTGTGTGGTCAGTGACAGTACTTACAATGCCTTCGTATATGCCATATAACTGTCAGTGATACTTAAGATTGACTGCTTCCTATATTTTTGAGTGACATCTTATGGAGTTTACTTAGAGGTAGTGATTGATAAGTACAAGCATATTAGATAGTTGCTAGAAGCTTGTAACTTTGGCATTATTGGGTTGAGGAAGAATAATATTAGTCACCAGCATTTATCAGGCGATTTTTTGTCAAGTCTCCTACTCATTGTGAGGTTACTGTTATTGAAGTTTATGATGTTAGTGTTAGGAATTCTGTATGCAGCTCCATTTGTAATTGGTGCCTTTCACTAGGCAAATATTTATTTTCCATTGGTATTCCTTGTGTTAATGACATTACATTGCATCTTGTTTGTATAGTAGGTTGTAATACCTTCCCCTTTTCTTATTGGGTCTACAGCTGTGACTAGCTGTGTATGTTGAATATGTTTAATATATGGTATCTTACTTTAGAGAAGTCTGTTAACATGAAAAAAAGGTATTACTGTATTTATTGTCTTGGAGAACTTTGATATTACAGTATCATTGTTTACCTAGAGGTTTAACATTTTGCATAAGCACAGTCATGCATTTATTTTTTTACCGAGGATGTGCTTAGCAAGGTTGGCTGTATAGTAACTACAGTTTTGATATGTAGTACAGGATATTAGTTGTACTACTTTGTTAATAAGTTTGGCTCAAGATCAGTGTTATGCACAAATGAAACTAGTGAGTGATCAAGATGACTGAATACTGTATGAAGATGGATTAATAGAATAAGATGCATATTGCATAATGGGGCTGTAAAATGTTAAAAACTATTGATTAGAAAAAACAAGAAGATTTTTATTTTTAAACAAACTAATCCAACAATATAATTTGAGATTTGCAATATAATTTGAGATTTCAAAAATTCCTGGGACAGTACACACTTCCATGGATTTACAAGTTGAATTATTTTTAGTGGTCATAGGTATATGGGTCATTGATTGCTGTGTTCATAAGTTTTTGAATGAAAACAGTTGCAGTAAGCCTTCAGTTTAACAGACATCATTTTAATGGATTGGAAATACAGAACAAAATTTGCTGGGTCATTTGACTTGGAAACAATGGACAAAATCTGTTGGTGACAGAATTGTTTATTATTGTCATGATCATGGCAAAACAACCTCATCTCTGTCCACCACAGTTGCTGTTACCAGCTACACACATGACAGCTAAACTAAAAAAACTATCATTATTTCATATTGGGGTATACTGCATGTGTTTCTAAGCTGAGCAGTGTTATTTGTAAAATTCTAGAACAAATGTTTTGTAAAAAAAATTTCCTTTAGTAATGTCCTAAAGATTTAGCAACAAATTTTGGCATTAATATATGTTTCAACATGTTGGCTTGTCTGTTAGTGAGGAAAGTACAGTATACTACACTGTTATCCATAAAAAATAAAATGTTCATAAGGTGTTTATAATTTTGCAGATCCCTTCATGCTGCCATGGATGCAAGTTGATAAGGGTGCTATTCGCTTCATTCTCAGTGGTGCCAATATAATGTGTCCAGGACTGACTTCTCCTGGTGCTAAGATGTCAAAAGTAGATCAGAACACAGTAGTAGCAGTGATGGCAGAAGGCAAACAACATGCTCTTTGTGTTGGCTTGACATCTTTGTCTGCAGAAGATATTGCCAAGACTAATAAAGGCATAGGTATTGAGAATTGTCATTATCTTAATGATGGACTTTGGTACATGAAACCTGTCAAGTAATTACAGTGAAATTTAGGATAATGTACAAATGCTGATAACTGCATTTTTTTTTTCTTACTTTTATTTGACCTGTATTTCATAAAGTTGATAAAAACAATAATGCTTATAATTCACTCTTTTTTTTTTTTTCTTCTTTTTTTTTTTAAAGTAAATAACATTACACATTCAGCATGATGGTTTGTGTATAATTTAAAGTAATAGCCACTATTGGTTGTTCTAATTTCCATCCACCTGAGAGGCTGGATTGATTACATTATGAAGTGTGGTAGCTGCCATCAGCCTGAATTCGCTCCCCTCCCTAATAGTTTCATTATGATTAGGTTTGGTTATGCAATATGTCCTTTTAATTTCTTTAACACTAGTCATTTCCCACCAAGATGTGGTGACTTAGAGAAGGAAACACACAATCACTCAGTCTCTGGCTGTTTTTCCAGAAGTGCATGGCTATCACAATTCCAGTGACCCATCCTTCAGAGTGCAGGCACTCTTACTCTCCACTTCTAGAACTCAAGTCTGGCTAAACAGTTTCCCTTGAATCCTTTAACCCTTTAACTGTTTTGGTCGTATTTATACGTCTTACGAGCCAGTGTTTTGGACTTATGTATACTCAATAATTCTAGCGGCTTCAGATCAATCAGAAGAAAGCTGGTAAACCCACATGTGAGAGAATGGGTCTGTGTGGTCAGTGTGCACCATATAAAAAAAATCCTGCAGCACGCAGTGCATGAGAAAAAAAAAACTCCGACCATTTTCTTGGATTAAAACGCCGACTTTGAGGTGTATTTTCGTATAGTATTTATGGTTGTATTCTCATTATCATGGTCTCCTGCGATACAGTGGAAAACATATTACAGAAATAGAGATGATTTTGATTAATTTCACGATGAAAACGACCTTGAAATTGAGCTCAAAGTAGTGGAAATGTTCGATTTTTACCAATGTTGAAGAGTAAGCAAATCACACCACACTTCCAATACACATCAACTGGGGAGTCTAATTTTCTTTCACTAGTGCACTGATATTATTTATACCATTTTTACAATAATGCAGTAGTCTGCATAACAGTAAATCTTCTATTTTTTGTATGAATAAAAAATCACAATAGAAAGCAATAGTAATGTAAGAAGGGCCTAGAGACATGACTAATGAACAGAGGATATGTTATTTTAGTGCCAAGAATGTCTACATTGTTTATTCTGGACCCTATTTTGAAATTGGCATCTTTTTTAATTTGCATGAAATTGGCCAAAATGCCAATTCCTGACCACTTTATTGGGTAGTTCAAATCGGTAAATGGGCAGTTTCTTGTACTCAATTGATAGAAAAAATGGAGTGCTAAAGAAATAGCTATGAGTTTAGTCGACTGGAACAATGGAATTGGCCAAAAATAAGGCTCAAAGTCGGCGAAATCGCCGATGCATGTATGTCGCCGAGACCGCTAACTTCGCAGGAGCATAACTCCATGAGTTTTCGACCAAATTTTGTACTTTTGGTGTCATTACCATAGGGAAAAGATTCCCTGTCATTTTATAATTTTTTTTTTTTTTTTTTTTTTTTTTTTTCTCCAAAATTTTTTTTACATAGAATGACAGTTTCAGAAAGGGACTTGCGACAGTCAAAGGGTTAATAAATACTTCTGTTCTTATACATGAACAGTACATCAAATCATAAAATTCACTTCAATCTAACATTCAAACAAGCCCCTACCACTTTAACCCTTTCACTATTCGTCATGTAGAGCTATGTCATTAAGGTCAGAGTCCCTGGCATGTTTGTACATCATGAGTTCAGCTTACTCAGATAAACTGTGAGTGGTAAATTTTGGCCTAAATATGAGAGAATGGATCTGTGCGGTGAGTGTTTACTTGGAGAGGGTTTCGGGGGTCAATGCCCCAGCACCATATAAAAAAAATCCTACCTTGTGATGCATGACAGGTAGATTAAAACTGTGAGTGCGAATGGTTTAAGGTAGTGATGCCTTGGTGTTTTATTGGATGGTTTTTATGGTTTTATCTGTTTCTTGGTATCATTTGATAGAATTGAAGAAATACTACTGAAATAGAAATGATTTTGATTGGTTTAAGAACTGGAAGTAGCTTGAAATTGAGCTCAAAGAGGCAGAAATATTTGATTTTTGCTGATATTCCGGAGGAAGGGTAAGGGTTCCCTTCATCCCCTTGTCGTTTTATGGGTTTTTAATAGGTTTGATTCAATTATTGGGATGCTGTAAACCATAAATATTCTTTCCTGGTTATGGTTTATTATCTGAGAAATAGAATAAATCTATTTTTGTGTGAAAAATAATTCAAAATGGAAAGCAAGTGTAATAATTGAGAGGCCTGAGGACATGACTGATGAACATTATTAGTTCCAGGAAGGTCTATATTGTTTATTATAGACTATTTTTAAATTGGTATTTTTTTAAATTTGTGTGAAATTGGCCAAATTGACAAATTCTGATCAGTTTATAGGGTAGTTGAAATAGTTCAACAAGTAGAATGGAAGGCATACTAGCAAAATAGCTAAGAATTTAGCTGACCGGAACAACGGAATTGGCCTAAAATAGGACTCCTAGTGGGTGAAATCGCTGGTGTGTAAACTGCGCGAAGACCTTTTGACTTTGAGTCTGCGTAATTCTGTACGTTTCCAATCGGATTCTCTACCATTTCAGAAGAATTTTTTGGGGGGGAGGGAGGGTAATTTTTGACATGGAAAGGAAGTTTAATTTTGGGGGTCTGGACAGTGAAAGGGTTAAAGGCATCTCTGGTTTCCCGAGATATCTTAAGTACATACCTTATCCAGCCTAGCTTTGTACACCTACTTGGTCAATCCATTATTTTTAGTATTTATATAAAATGCTAAACCTGTGTGGGTCATTCAGTGCAAGGATTGGTGGAAGCTCAACATTTTGTCTGCTAGTGGTGAGACAGACACTACTTTCCCAGCCAGGCTTTACAATCCTTTATAGATGACTCTTAGGGTTATGCAGTGATGGGGACTGGAAGGTAATGTGGTATGATCCAAGGAAGAGAGTAGCTACAATTCCTTAAATCAAGAGCCCTTCACCAGCATGAAGATGACACTTCCCCCTCCCCCACCCCCCACCCCCTACCCCCAATGAAGTGTAAATATAGTCCTCAAACAAGCCCACTATGGAGTGAGCTTGTGTTACTTCAGTTACAGCAGTTTACCCTTAAATGAAAGGATACCAGTCAAGGGCTTTTCATCCGAAGAATTTGAGCTACTTCTTTCCTTGGATTGAATTTGATGCTTTCCATTTCCTGATGCAGTTGCCTCTTACAGGTTTAGTGCCCTTTCCCATGAATCCAAAATAATAATACCCAATACTCTTAACTGTTTAACAAATGTAGTTTTAGTACTTGCATGATTGCAAAAGTACTAAATGAGTTGTACTAGTTTAGCACTTTTTTTTTATTGAAGTGGGCTGGTTTAACATGGTGTGATAGTATTTGTGTTGCATGTTTATGCTGGTTTTTACTTTTGTTAGTCTACTTTTGGTGTTCATGTGTATTTGTATTTTTTTTTATTGCCAAACTCACTGAGTGTTCTAGGTCAAAGCTCTTTCAGATCTCTCTCACTTTCTTTACTGCTTATTTGTGAAAAATTAAATATATGGTAGGTGCTTTAATGAATAATTTTTTGGGAACATACTCATTGCATGTGACATAAAACTACTTTTCTTTGAGGAGGTGTGCCTTGTTGGAGAAAGGCTCTTGATTGAAGTAATTGGAACTTTCCTTCCTCTAATCAAACCCATTACCTCATTCCCCAGGCATTGTATGACCCCTGTTTGTTTTGCACTTCCCTACGAATGTAATAATAAATATTCAATTAATGTGTATATAGTAATGCTGTACTTCTACTGTGATACCAATGAAACTGTTTTCATTATCATCATCTTGTGCTTTTGTTTAATGCCATTATCTGGATAAGTAGCAGTGAATGAAACACTGTTTTATAATGGTAAAAGTGCCATCTTAAAACTAACATATCTCAGGGTCCGCTTGCAAGTGCAAAATGTTACATATAATAATTACTTACCATTTTTTAATAGTTTTTTAGTCATGAGCATGTAAAGAATGGAACAGTTCTTCCATTTTAGTCCGGTGAAGCCTTCAATTACTTGTCTGTTGCAGCATTAATCGTAATCAGTGCTACCCGGTAAGCTAACTTGTGATGGACATCTTGATGCCTCGTCTTTCACATACATTACTTGCAGATACTGCCTGCAGTACTTCAGGTCATTTGTGACATGAATGGCACAGATGTGTAGTCTTTTTCTATTTGTATATTGCCTCAAGGGGGTGCCTTGATGCCAGTAAAAGGCTCTTGATCTGAGGAATTGAAGGTCCCTGTTCCTCATATCAAACCTGTTTCTACCAGTCTCATTGTGGTTTTTACTTGTGGCCTTAGTGCCTCTGTGTGGATATTAGTACTGTAATTCACATGCAAATGCATCAACTGCTTTACTTATTTTCTCTACAGGTCCTACCATTTCTTTATTTTAGAAAATCACCTGTAGGTATAGTTATTGATGAGGACCGTAGTGTATTGTATAATCTTAAATGCATCTGCAGATGTTATAGTGCTGTACAACTCATAAAGGCTTAGCCCCCCCTTTTTTTTTGTTGTGTGTGAATTTAATGTGATGACCATCCCATACCTGTTGTATTGTAGCTGATTGAAAAAGACTTTCTGAGAATTAATAGCTCTGGAGAGTTAATGGCTCAAGATAGCTCAATACTATATCAAAGAGGTGTAGGTTACAGTATTTCTGTTGAGGTTTCATTTGATCCTTTCCTCAAAGACTGCTCAAGGTGGGTTCCTTGATGCTCGTGAGGGGCTTTGTTCTAAGGAATTGGACCTGTGCTCCAGTTCCTTGAATACAATCTGAATGTCTTTCATTCCCCTAGGTGCTGTATGACCCCCTACAGGTTTAGTGCTCCCCAATGAATATAATAGTACTCATTAAAGTTGCAGTCCAGAGCAGCCAATTTATTTTTTTGCTGTTGAGTGAGCAGAGGCAGTGAATGTAAGATGAATTGCCTGTAAGTTTCATCTTGCTTGAAGATTAACTTGGGTTCCTTCAGTTGTGAGCTGAATGCAATACTACTGAACTAAGAGTTATCACACACACAGGCTGCTTCTCATGCTAGGTTAGTGACTTTTTCATTGTCACCTTGGTACCATTTCAGTGGCACCAAGGTGACAATGTAGGACTAAGTCAAGTGCAACAATTATGCTAAAGTAGTTCTTTAATTTTACTGCGTGATTGTTTAAATTTCTTCTAAGATTATGATTTATAGCCATTTGATATACCAGCAGTACCCCCCTTCCCCTCAATGGACATTACTTGGTTCTTATCAGGGGCTCTGGATCAGAGGAATTGGACATGTACTTCCCTTCCTTGGATTGAACCTGAATGCCTCCCATTTCCCTAGGTGCTGTATGACACCTGAAGGTTTAGAACTCCCTTATGAATGTAATAATGTATATACCAGCGATACAAGCAATGTAGCAATAATATGCTTTGAGTATAAATAACAAGTTTTCTTTGGGACTTTTTGTTCAGCCATAGCAAAATGTAGTTCTAATCAAAGCTTATCCTGCCTCTACATTCAGTAATATACTTGATTAAATATTGGTAAGAGTACCAACAATACATTAAGTAAATGAACACATACATAAGTAATAACACATTTTCTGTGGCTACACTTCACTCACCAAGAGATTTATCAAGTCAGTATGAATAATGCCCTTAACACTGTTAATTCATGCACTGTATTGTTTGCATTGACTTGACAAAGCTCCTGGTTAGCAAAATATAGTCGCAGTAAATGTCTATTCATTACACGTGGACTTTTTATGCCTTCTTTAGAATTATAAGGAATACTTGCTATGCTGTTGGATTTCTATACATGAGCTACAATGCCACTGTTAAAATTCTTGTGGAAACAGTTCATAATTACAATGCCTACATTTTGGTTGGGTGGGCTCAACTCTTTTTTGTTAAAATTTAAACAACACGCATAATACATACTGTTGCATGATTAAATTTTCTGTCCGTTAATTTTTACACTGTTACATATCTGAAAATTCTGTTTGGCACTTTATGTCTAATATCCCACCAAAGGCAGGGTCCCCAAAAAGAAAAACTTTCCCCATCATTACTCCACCCACTGTCTTGCCAAAAGGGGGTGTTTTTACACTCAGTTTTTAAACTGCAACATTAACCCCCCCCCCTTCAGAGTCAGGCACGTACTTCCATCTCCAGGACCAAGCCCCCCTCCCCCGGGGCCCCTTTTCCCTGAACCTTCATAAATGTTACTTTGTACCTCCAAACACGTCAAGTTTTTAAAAACCATTGCTCCTTCACCCCACAAACACCTACCAGGGCCTCTGGAACCCAACCCCCCCCCACAAAACCCCTTTTAAACCCCCTCCCTCCAACCCTTCCTAGGGACCCCTCCCCCGCCTTCCTTCCACTACGACTGATACACCTTGAAGCTTTCTGTTTCGCTCCATTCTCTCAAACCATGCCCGAACCACCTCAACAACCTTCCCCAGCCCTCTGGACACAGTTTGGGAACCCGCACCCCCTCCTAACTTCCAAATACGAATTCTCGCATTATATTACACCACACTTGCCCCAACATGAATCTCCCTGCCTCCACCTTCTCCCGCGCAAAAATTCATCACCCACGCTTCCACCCATATAAGGCTTGGTAAAAAAAATTTTCTCATACATTCCCCCTTTGCCCCCAAGGACAAAGTTCTTTGTCTCCACAGACTCCTAAGTGCACCACTCACTCTTTTTCCCTCATCAATTCTATGATTCACCTCATCTTTCATAGACCCATCTGCTGACACGTCCACTCCCAAATATCTGAATACGTTCACCTCCTCCATACTCTCTCCCTCCAATCTGATATTCAATCTTTCATCACCTAATCTTTTTGTTATCCTCATAACCTTACTCTTTCCTGTATTCACCTTTAATTTTCTTCTTTTGCACACCCTACCAAATTCATCCACCAATCTCTGCAACTTCTCTTCAGAATCTCCCAAGAGCACAGTGTCATCAGCAAAGAGCAGCTGTGACAACTCCCACTTTGTGTGTGATTCTTTATCTTTTAACTCCACGCCTCTTGCCAAGACCCTCGCATTTACTTCTCTTACAACCCCATCTATAAATATATTAAACAACCACGGTGACATCACAAATCCCTGTCTAAGGCCTACTTTTACTGGGAAAAAATTTCCCTCTTTCCTACATACTCTAACTTGAGCCTCACTATCCTCGTAAAAACTCTTCACTGCTTTCAGTAACCTACCTCCTACACCATACACTTGCAACATCTGCCACATTGCCCCCCTATCCACCCTGTCATACGCCTTTTCCAAATCCATAAATGCCACAAAGACCTCTTTAGCCTTATCTAAATACTGTTCACTTATATGTTTCACTGTAAACACCTGGTCCACACACCCCCTACCTTTCCTAAAGCCTCCTTGTTCATCTGCTATCCTATTCTCCGTCTTACTCTTAATTCTTTCAATTATAACTCTACCATACACTTTACCAGGTACACTCAACAGACTTATCCCCCTATAATTTTTGCACTCTCTTTTATCCCCTTTGCCTTTATACAAAGGAACTATGCATGCTCTCTGCCAATCCCTAGGTACCTTACCTTCTTCCATACATTTATTAAATAATTGCACCAACCACTCCAAAACTATATCCCCACCTGCTTTTAACATTTCTATCTTTATCCCATCAATCCCGGCTGCCTTACCCCCTTTCATTTTACCTACTGCCTCACGAACTTCCCCCACACTCACAACTGGCTCTTCCTCACTCCTACAAGATGTTATTCCTCCTTGCCCTATACACGAAATCACAGCTTCCCTATCTTCATCAACATTTAACAATTCCTCAAAATATCCTTCCATCTTCCCAATACCTCTAACTCTCCATTTAATAACTCTCCTCTCCTATTTTTAACTGACAAATCCATTTGTTCTCTAGGCTTTCTTAACTTGTTAATCTCACTCCAAAACTTTTCTTATTTTCAACAAAATTTGTTGATAACATCTCACCCACTCTCTCATTTGCTCTCTTTTTACATTGCTTCACCACTCTCTTAACTTCTCTCTTTTTCTCCATATACTCTTCCCTCCTTGCATCACTTCTACTTTGTAAAAACTTCTCATATGCTAACTTTTTCTCCCTTACTACTCTCTTTACATCATCATTCCACCAATCGCTCCTCTTCCCTCCTGCACCCACTTTCCTGTAACCACAAACTTCTGCTGAACACTCTAACACTACATTTTTAAACCTACCCCATACCTCTTCGACCCCATTGCCTATGCTCTCATTAGCCCATCTATCCTCCAATAGCTGTTTATATCTTACCCTAACTGCCTCCTCTTTTAGTTTATAAACCTTCACCTCTCTCTTCCCTGATGCTTCTATTCTCCTTGTATCCCATCTACCTTTTACTCTCAGTGTAGCTACAACTAGAAAGTGATCTGATATATCTGTGGCCCCTCTATAAACAAGCAATGTAGCAATAATATGCTTTGAGTATAAATAACAAGTTTTCTTTGGGACTTTTTGTTCAGCCATAGCAAAATGTAGTTCTAATCAAAGCTTATCCTGCCTCTACATTCAGTAATATACTTGATTAAATATTGGTAAGAGTACCAACAATACATTAAGTAAATGAACACATACATAAGTAATAACACATTTTCTGTGGCTACACTTCACTCACCAAGAGATTTATCAAGTCAGTATGAATAATGCATTAACACTGTTAATTCATGCACTGTATTGTTTGCATTGACTTGACAAAGCTCCTGGTTAGCAAAATATAGTCGCAGTAAAT